AATGCTAATTGATGAGAATCAGACTGTAAAGGCAACAATGAATTCAAATCGATCGTAAATCAAAATGCCCTGAGTTGGCATTATTATTCTTTTTGCTTATTTGATGTGCGTATGTGTTGCTTTGTATTAAAATGACTTATTTCTTGACTTCTAGCTTACAATTCTATTTAAGGTGAACCCGGAAAAATACAAGAACATTGTCACTGGATTCCGTACAACCGTTGCCGAGGAAGGAGGACGTGCTCTCGCTAAAGGATGGGCTCCAACGTTCATTGGGTATTCACTCCAAGGGCTGGGAAAGTTCGGATTCTATGAAGTGTTCAAGAACCTTTACTCCGAACTGCTTGGAGGAGGTGAACATCATTTTTGTTGTCCACTTTTGCCCTTCTTTTTTGTTATCCTATGCAATGCGCCTTCTTTTTTCAGGAAAATGCTTATTTGTACCGTACTTCTTTGTATTTGGCGGCATCTGCATCAGCTGAATTCTTCGCTGATATTATGCTCGCTCCCATGGAAGCTACAAAAGTCCGAGTACAGACTTCCCCGGGTGCACCTCCAACACTCCGTGGGTGCGCTCCAATGATCTACAGAACTGAGGGCCTCACTGGCTTCTACAAGGTAAGCTCGAAGTTCGTCCTATGATCTTGGTTTGAAAACAATGATAACCTTTTCAGGGAATTGTCCCTCTTTGGCTGCGGCAGATTCCTTACACCATGATGAAGTTCGCATGCTTTGAACGCACTGTAGAAATGCTATACAAATACGTAGTACCTAAGCCACGTTCTCAATGTTCGAAACCTGAACAACTCGTAGTCACATTTGTTGCTGGTTACATTGCTGGTGCGTTATTTATTTCTTTTATCGATTTTTTTTTTCGAACCAGGCACTGAGTATCGTTTTCAGGTGTATTCTGTGCTATCGTCTCTCACCCAGCTGACACTGTTGTGTCGAAGCTTAACCAAGATGCTGGCTCTGGAATTGGTGGTATAATCAAGAAGCTAGGTTTCGCAGGCTTGTGGAAAGGATTGTTCCCCCGTATTATTATGATTGGTACACTAACAGCAGCACAATGGTTCATTTATGACTCAGTGAAGGTGGCGCTTCACCTTCCACGTCCACCTCCTCCGAGCATGCCAGAATCTCTTAGACTAAAATTGGAGGCGGCTGGGAAACTTCATCATTAATTAACACGTTTAATAATGTTGAAATGTTATAAATGTTAATGTCGTGGAGGTCTAGATTGATGAATGATAGCTGTCTCGTTTGATATATTTATCGCATTATCATGTGGTCATTCTGTGAATTAGGCAGTTGAAGGAGTGTGATTAGTGTCGATAAATGTTAGCGGAGTTTCTTCATCCTGTCACATATCGTCTGCTATCTGATGGAGTTCAACACCCCAGGTGATTACAATTTTCTCTTCAAGGAAAACGGCTTTTTCCTAGTTTTTTTTTGATTTGAAAACTTCCATGTTACTAGTTTCGCGCTGTAAATCCAAAGGTATGGAATAGATGTGCTTTTGTGTTATTAGGCTGCTTCTTCTATTTCTGGAATGCCGCTATACAGCTCAGAGTTCAGTCCCATGAGCGCAAATTCAGGCCGCTTTGTTAGCGTTTGTGTTGACCAATTTGCAAATTCACGGACGCGATGCTTCGTGCTGCGGCGAGATCCGTTGAGGATAATAGAAATTGAAATCGATTTCTAATAACGATATGCGTGCTAGACTATTGTGTCGTTGCCTATTACAGCGGATTAGCGGGGCATGTGTGAAAATAAGGTATTCTGGTTTTTGCACCCTTACTTAACTCGGAAATGAGAAATTTACTAAGGTGAAGTTAATGTACACTGGTAATGTTATTGGCTGGAGGCGTCATTGATACAAGATCGGAGATTAGTAGCTTCAGTTTTTCCCGAGCAGTCACACATTTTTACCTTTTTCATATTTTTCGAGTGAAAGGAGTACGATGTCAGTAAGAAATCCATTGTTCCCCATTCACCAATAAACAGAAAGCCAGCCATACGAATGCAGAACAATATGTGATCACATAACTGCTCGCATTGCTCAACTACATGCTCCATTACTCTTCTGGATATATCCTCAATACTCCTGACATTACGTCATTCAAACTATTATTCGAATCTTGTTGAGTAGCTGCTCCTAGCGAAACTGTGTAGTCAACACGAACCCGCTAATGGTATTAATGCTCCATTATTTCTATTTGGAGGAGCATCCAGTTGGAGTGCCTCATGAGAAGTAAAACCATCTTGCGGGTGTAAGCGCTGAAACAGCTTGGGAAAGGAAACACAGCACCAATCTTTTGTCATTTCTTTTATTGAGTACTTCTTTGATCAGTTTGATCTAGTCTTTTCAAGTAAGGCCCTGGTTAGCGTGATTGTTTGATTTTATCACACTTGAATAATTCAACTGCAATCATTCAGCTGGACAGCGCTTAGACAATCATTCGCACCATAAGAGAAACGTGTCCTCACACGTAGCTATTTGTCATTCCCTCTCTATTCCTAGTGTGGCCCATCAAAAACTTGCATTACCTTTCGAAATCTGCACCAATTGGCCTCATGATTTCTGGAATTTTGTTCAGCTGGAATTGCGTCCCTATTTTTTGTTAGGAGTTTTGATGATCCAACCAAGACATTTTCTATGTTGGTTTTGACTTCAGCGAATCCCTTTTTGGTGAAGTCCTTCCACCCTTCTTCGAAGACCATCATGGTCTCTTCCATTGACCTTCGAAGTCCTTTTCTGTCTGCTTATTCCATTTCTGTCTTAAGGCCGATGTCACACATTGCGAGTCGCTCGGAATCGCTCGATTTGCAAAGTATGACATTGGTCTAACAAGTGTTCACACCACTAGTCGTTGCTGTCGAACTTTCAATTGTTCATAGACTAGTTCCCATGATTCTCCTGACGTCTTCGTTCTTGACCCTGTCGCGTCGCGTCCAGCCACAAGCTCACCTCAGCAACCACATTCGATAGGAGTGAAGATGCATTTCATGATTCTTGCCTATGGGCCAGCACTTGCTGTAATGAAGCATCACAGACCTTATTACTGGCTGGTATTTACCTTGTTTTCGAGCGTCCTGGAGCAGCTGCGGCGATCACAGAACATACCAGCCACCTACCATCGGCGATTAGATCAGATATGGATACTTATTTACACTTCCGATTTTTTCTCCATGGCTGTCCGCGATCGCTCATGCACGAGTCGATGTATTCTCTTCAGAGCACAGGAACTTATTCTTCTCCAATTTGAGCCGGATCCCACTTTCCGCCAGCGCTTTTTGAAATTTCTGCAACTTGCCTTGAAATTCTCCTCTGCTATACGCTGGGTGATGTCGTCACTGTCAAGAATAGTTTGCAGTGGTCCTTCCATGAGCCTTTCACCATGTCATACAGGACGAGAGAGCAATAAAAATAGTCATTATCACCACATTTAAACGGAATTAATTACATTTTGCTAAATTCAAACTGAGTGCTCCAACAGAGAAGTGAAGAGCACATTCCAACCTGTCGAAAAACTTGACAATTGCATTCTACATCCCGACGACAAAAGGATTGCAACAGGAACGTGTGTTGCATATGGGCAAACCTGTTCAGTTTTATTGAATCTTCCAAACTTAGATAACTTTTGTGCAATATTTTGGATTGATATGGGGCCCGCGTGTAGTTTGCAAAACTGCATGTAAGTGCAGACTAGAGTCCCTCAGTGTATCCTTAGGTACTTGAGATTCTCTCACATGGGCTATAAATTCAAAGGAGGATTCCAGGACAAGAGCGAAGGTCGAAGAAGTAATTCGGAGTAATTTACCTAGTTGAGAGACAGGCGGACCCCTAAAGGTGCGCACCAACACGCAGTTCTCATACAGTCATAT